ATTTTTTCAGAAGTCAAACCTTCATGATACGATTGGGAGGATGCACACATTTCTCCACACTGCTAGTAATAGGTAATTGCCTTATGACATGCATGTAGTAGTAAGTTCAAACCTCCCTTGTTTTAAAGACAGGAAATTTCTTTTAATTTTTTTTTATCGAATATTTACAATAAGAGCATGATAAGTTATTTCTTATCAATTTATAATAAAATAGATGTGATTTATTGCACCTGAGCTTGTCTCAAGAAGAAAGTATTTTATAATATCAGTTCTTCAGTGTTTCTTAGGTCAACAAGAGTTCAAGAAAAGAATGAAATCATGTTAAAAAAAATATAAATTAAAAACAAATGTCAGTACAGATATCAGAGATGTGTACTATATGTTGACAGGACTCGTGGTTTGCTGATTTTGACCAGTCTCATCAGCCAATGTGATGCCGAAGATTTAAACCAGCACATGTCTACTTGGCTTAAAGTCATCATTCACATATTACAGGTAAGTACTATCTACTTCTATATAAATAGATGTATAATACTTTTGCAAAGATTTTGTAGTCAAACTGAGCTTCTGAAATTGCAGAGTTTGTTTTTACTCCAGATTTTTATCTATTGCATGTCTGTGTATTTTTTTCTTACTGGTACTTTGAGTCTTTGATTTAAAAATGAGATATTTTGACTTATGAATTATGTTTTTCAGTTAAAGTTCAAAGTAATGCAAATCTAGATCATATCAATAATCATTTAGCTTTGTCCCAGTGACCCAAATTTATATTGTTTTTTTTTCTAGTCATTCATCTCCTTCTGTACACTTAAAAAAGAAGTCTATAGATAAAAAAAATATATGTCCAGAGTATTGCTGCAATGCATCACAGTGTCACAATTTTTCCTTTACCTTTGTTAAAGTGACCCCAACACTGCAGGTGTCTTCCTTCAATCATTCTCCACCTGTATTGAGTAAATGAAATCATTCTATAAGATAAAAGATTATTTTAATTTCTTTGACTTTGATCTTTGATCAAGTTGCACAGACTTGTCCTCCACTTAAGAAGTAAATACTAAGAAGTATCTACATTGAACAGTAAATTGTACTCAAGTTATTTACTATCATATATAAATATTGTTTGTTTATTTGTATATTGTTTAATGTCCCTCTCAAGAATTTTTCACTCATATGGAGAGCTGCAAATTTTGTCCTATACTTGGCACTTCACGTGATTGTCTAATTGTAGTCGAGGGAGCCCCCGGTTGTTCTGAAGCTGACCTGCCATGTGTGTTGTCAGATCATTAGAATATCACCCTGCCACATTTCCCTAAAGAAAGCTGTGCAGACATTTATACCCCAGCTTATTCCTCTGCTTCTAGGAGCTTCTGACGAGGTTTGTAAATCAATATTATGTTTTTTGAAGAATTTAGGCACCTAGGGGTCAGACTTAAGAGGTAGTTACACACACCACATTAAAATCTACATTAGTTGTTCAAAATGACACAAACATTAAAATTTTTTGCTTGTTCTGTAATGATTTCTTATATCCATGAACCCAGAATGCAAATAAATGAGTTGGATAATACGAAGTAATGAAAATTAACCATAGCATCCCATTGTTTACAGTTTGTGATTGATGTTTGTGGTGTGTAATTATCTGGTTTCATTGACAGTGGAAGAGGCACTCTATAGCAGTACTGAACGCCTGTATAACTCACTATAGCGGGACCTGTGGACCATTTAAGGTAGGTGCTACACTGTTCTGTAGTGTCAGGAAACACACAACAGGGGACATACAATATCTATAATTATTTTCTGGGGTAAGGCAGTAAAGATTTTTTAGATTGGATGAATGAATGTTTCAAGTGAAAAAAAACAAAAACATTTGAATATTTTCCCTCAACAAACATAAAAAAAGAGATGTTAAAATTGCTTGCTTATGAGGTTAATAAAAAAGATGAGTCACTCTGGATTAAATATCTGCGTGCAAGTAATGTTAACAATAGGGAAGGGGGTTTTCTTCTCAACATTGCCTTTTGGGTAGATGGAGAGGAAAATCATTTCATTATCATATTCCAAGTAAATTATTAAAACTGGCATACATGTATATACATATATAATAATATATATTTTTGTATGCCTACTTATGATTTTAAATGTTTTATTTTTTAGAGTAAAATCGAAGACCTTATCAAAAAGGAACTTCATTCTGGCTCTCTGACTAAGGTATAAAAATTAATGTGTGTGGGGGGGGGGGGTATTGTATAAGATGTCCAAAAGGAAATTTTAATTGTCTTCTCAACATCCACTTGATGAATTTAATCTAAACCAAATTGAGAGGTTGCGTTACATGTTTGTTTGTTAGAAAGATATTTGTTATTCAGATGAGTGTTATGGTGCCATAGGCTTTGATCTTGGTCATTTGAATACTGTAGACGTACTTTTTTCCATGGGGTCAAAATTCCGCGGAATCTCAATTTCTGTTTAATCCGCGGGTGGAAAATTACGCGGATTTCTTAAACTGTCACTATATGCCTTACATTTATATTAAGTACGCTTGGACAAATTTGCGCGGAAAGTCTGTGACCGCGTACATAGCGTAAATTAATACCACGCAGAAAAAAGTACTTCTACAGTAATTATTATTTTAGGAAGCTGATGTTATTCTTTACAGGAGTCTGTGCTGTGCTTCTGTCTGTTGGCCTGCTGTGGCACCAGTGGTAATCAGAGGATCAAATACACAGAGGGCTGGAGTTCACAGGTCACTTACCTGTTAAACGACCTCCACTCTATAACTGACCACATCTACAGAGACCTACCCAATTCAGGTGATGCTTATTTCCCCACTCTAATCTCAGGTAGTTACAGATTTATTATTATGTTTATTGATGTGCATTTCCTTAATTAACATTATTGAAACTTCATCAACAGGTTTACCAATGACTGAGGAAGATGGTATCCCAGAATCCTTTAGGGCAGTAGATCCAGTGACACAGTTCAGTATTCTCATGCAGTGTCTCCAGAGGATGCTCAGGTTTATTTTCAATTCACAAAAATGCTAATACGTAAACAACCTCTTAGAAAATAATCTGTCTTTTCAAATGTAGTTAAGGTAAGTCACTCGTCAGCTTTTTGGAAAAGTTCACGCAGAAGCTTTTACTTCAAAACTACTTATTAAAATTCAATTTTTATAACATATTTAAATTCAACAATGTAAATTTTTTAGCATTCAATGAAAAAAGTGCTCAAAAATCTACAAAGAAGCAAGATTTATGAGGGACTATTTCTTTTGGTGGAAGGATATTTAGCAGAAAATTCTGCAAATCTGCACACTTATAAAATTTAATGTAATGGAAATTTAGCCTCACATACTTTTACTCGGAGAATATTTTCCGTTTTGATATTGCTAAAAATATTTAATATAGGTCTTAATTAATATTTTCAGACTAAGTTTTACACCTTCCCTCAACAAACTTTTCCAAAAAATGAAAATATATCAAAGAAGTCAAGATCAAATTTACACCATTTTTTACCTGAAAATCACATATTTTGACAAATATTTCAAAATTAACATCACTGACCCCACCTTTTTCTTTCATTATTTTAAACTACTCGATACTTGTGACTGATCAGCACTTAAGTTGTAAAAAGTTTGATATAAGAAAATTTTTTATTGCCTATTAAGTTTTTTAATACCCCAAATATGTTATTTTTTAGTGCAAAAAGGTCACACAATAATTTACGCGCATTGATTTGCAAGATTTGTTTAATGATAAATATTATTCAAACTATTTTGCGTAAAATAAGATTATATTTATTGCCATGCTTACATCTGATCAAATATAATAAGGGTTAAAGTAATTAACCAAAGAGATGAAATTTAAGTGCAAAAAGGTCAGTAGGATGCACACTGACCCCCTATTTTCTTTGTGATTTTGAGTTACACTTTATGAGTACTTATCCAAAATATCTTCTCAAAAAATCCTTGATTTAACAAATTTCAGGAGTGACTTACCTTAAAATGTATATTTGTGTATCTTTGTTACTTCTCCTGAAAACAAACTTTTACATAAGTAAGCTTGTTTTCTGACATTTGTAGGAAACCCTTCCCTGCTCTGATAAAACTGCCTGTTGAGAGGATTCTCCACTTTGTTGATAAAGTTCTATCTGTAGACGACGCCCAATTAGTAAGTTGTAACTTTCTTTGATATAAACACTTGGATTCATAGATCTTACGAGTTTTTGGCAAGGATTTTATTACAGTATATGAGATTTAGATTATCTGAATTCCCATTTTGTTTTCTCTGAACTCTAAATCCAGGTGAGCATTATGGCCTATGGACCTCCCTTTTTATCGTTTATCTTCTTGTCCATCATTAAGACTTGGATGATTTTAAATCTTTCAGAGGATGGTGAGTTCACTGAATAGCTCTGTCCTACTCCTCCACAGAGAAGCAGTGGATGTTATTGATGCCCTGTATGAGAGGTCAGACAATTTATACACATTAGGGTATTCCTGGGCATGCAAGGCTTGTGTCTGGCCAGTATTTATTAATGAATATACTTGTTAGGACAGCTGTATTTAAATTTAATAATTTTTTTTTTTTTTTCAAGGAAACATCTCTTGCTGGATGTATATGTACATGTAATGTATATGTTAAATAAAAAAAATTCATTTTCATTTTGTTTTCAGTTGTAAAAAATTGATGTTGGCATACAACAAGAAAGTTGTTCGAGTGTTAACAAGAGAGCTGATACGGACTTCCTCTGACTCTGCATACATACAAGCTAAGCCACTCAGGTATAATGAAGGCTATAATCTATGAAAACACAATACACCTGTACATGTAGATGTTGTACAAGCTAAAATCAGTTTAAATCCAGTAAGGTATTGCACAAAAAAATCTTTTTAAAACCTGTTGGATATTGTTCAAGCTTCTTTACTTTTATTAAATTTTGTTAACAGAGTAATTCATCACAAACTCATCTTTTTTTTTTGTGCTAGTGCATTATTCTTCTTAATTTTCACTATGACCTTGTTACACAGAGAACTAAGACAGGCTGTGTATAGAACTCTGGAGACGATGATGAAATCTACGGGCTGTTTCCTGGAAACTGTGAGAGAAGAAGATAACCTGGTTCAAGAAATACTGACTGACTGTAAACCATTGGAGTGTAAGGTAAGAGGCATGTAACAGATACTGACTGTAAACCACTGGAGTGTAAGGTAAGAGGCATGTAACAGATACTGACTGTAAACCACTGGAGTGTAAGGTAAGGGCCATGTAACAGATACTGACTGTAAACCACTGGAGTGTAAGGTAAGGGCCATGTAACAGATACTGACTGTAAACCACTGGAGTGTAAGGTAAGGGCCATGTAACAGATACAACTGAACTGTAAATCACTAAAGTATAGGGTAAGGACCATGTAACAGTTTTTATCCTGCCTGTGATAAAAATTGTGAAATTTCATTAGTCGAGAAGAATACTGCATAATGTTATGCTGTCTACCCACCTCATATTGCTAATGTGCCCCTCCACGTGATCTACCTACCACACATCAAATCAATATGCCCCCTCCACGTGCCATACTGCACAGATAGGTTGTTTTCATTTGAACACGCAAAGAGCCTAATAACTGATGTCATGTAAACATTAAATGACGTCACAATGTAGCAATTGTTACAGAACGATCTGTATATAACTCAGAAAAAAATGAAGTTTTTTAGAGAACCATTGGCAGTATAAATTTTTTATGTAGACACTTAGAGGGGTAATACGGAAATATGTGGGGTCCTAGAAAAAATACATATTGGGCTCGGCTTACGCCTCGCCCAATATGTATTTTTTTCCGTATTACCCCTCTAAGTGTCTACATAAGTAATAATATATGTATGACTGTGAAGTAATTGAGTGCAATTGAACTTTTTATCAAAGATGTGAAATATTACAGAAAGACAGATTTGAATTTTTGTTTAACTGTTTCTTTGTTATTGTTTTTTTTTATCAGAGTTCACTTCAAGTACAGAATGTGGCAGAGCCTTCACCTTCCAAGAAAAAGAAAATGATGGTCAACATTGATAAGGTGGACACAACCACAGAGCTGCTTAACAGGGTGACCAGTACCTGTACAGAATGTGCTTTACAAGGTAACTGATTACAGCTCAGTTAATTATTGTACAGTTGTAGATCAGCAAAACATTAATACACATGAATGAAGAATACAGCAATTAAAGATTGTAATTTACAAATAAAGCACAATTTGTGGACGTAACTTTCTAAATAGAAGGTATTAACTTGATATATCTTGTTTCTTCAAGCATTGTACTGGTGGACACTTGCAGATGGAGTCAAAATGAAGACCAAAACTTTTCAGGTAGGTGATTTTACTGTCATATTATTGAATCATGTCTCAAGAAAAAATATTTTTAAAAAAAACTGATGCTCATATATTCTGAAAATGGCAAATACACAAGTTCAAGATAGAAACACCTCCTTGAATATATTGACTTCAAGAGTTTGGTGTTTTTTTGGTCACATGGTGCTGTTTTGCATAAACTGAGAACATGCATCATACATACTTCTCCAAATCTGACAGAATTTCCAAATTGGACAGAATTTATTAGAAACATCTTTTTTATGCCCCCGTTCGAAGAAGGGAGGGCATATTGCTTTGCTGCTGTCTGTCGATCGGTCTGTCGGTCCACTTAGTTTCAGTTCATTTTCTTGGCAACCATTGCACATACTGAAATGAAATTTGATATACAGATATATCACATGAATATGTAGGTAAAGTTTTGTTTTGGGTACGATCTCACCTTTTTTGACAGAGTTATAACCCTTGGACTTCGAAAAATTCCAATTATTTGCAGTTTCCGTTCATTTTCTTTGCAGAGGTTGCACGTACTGAAATGAAATTTGGTATACAGATTTATCAGATGAATATCTAGGTCAAGTTCTGTTTTGGGTACAATCGTGCCATTTTTGACAGAGTTATGCTCCTTGGACTTAAAAAAAAAATTCCAATGGGGGGGGGGGGGGAGGGGGGGCATAAGTGTTTTACAAACATCTCTTGTATTCTTGGTGGGTCTCATATTTTGTTTAGTCTGTTTTGGTTAACTTAACATCACCAGTGCCCTTAGGTAAAGGGTTGGCATTGACCTTGAACCAAACTTCTAGGTTAAAGGTCAAAACAGTTCTTATTTTAAATCCTTGTCTGAATATTATATTTTCTGCCCTTCAGGCAGTTTGGTTTACAATTTTCCAAGAACTACACTAGATCAAGAGTGTGTAGTATTTGAACCAAATCAAGAGCCATAATCATAGCAGAATTTTATTTTGTGTGACTGTAAACTCCTTTAAGGTTGTGATTATTTTTTGCTATATAATTCTTGTAAACTAATTTTTTACCAATTACCAGTTTTACCAATTACATACAAGCATACTTTACCCTCTTATTCTAACGAAAAAAGTCTTGTGAAAATATCAGTGAACAAGGTGGCTCCACATTCAAGCCTCACTAGGAAATAAGTATTAGGAAAGAAGATAATACATCTCTAAAAACTATTGCTGTCTGATACTCTGATGCTATCATAATAAGGGCCTTTGTTCAACTTGAAAAGCTCTTTATACAGATGTTGTCCTGTAAAATTATTTTTTTATGTAAACTTAATTTTTCATTGCAGCGAGTGTGTGATTTCATTATCACAACAGCATTGACAGTGTACAGAGGTGGACCTGACAAGTTATTCCCTTACAACAACTGGAGATGTAGGCTCCACCTACTGAGGGTCCTACAGGCATGTGTGATGACCCCACACAAAGAAGGGTCATCACCTCTACAGTGTGCAGTGGCCATATTCAAAATAGCAGAGCAAGATGACAATCTACAGGTATGTTGTTTTCACCTCTGAATTAGATAGAAGTTATCTATCAGTTTTTTGCATAAAAGGGCAATCATCAGCATTAGTATGCAAGAAGAGTGTGGGTTGTCATTAAATGCCAGATTAATCATAAAGAGTTGTGCCATAGATTTCAATGTTATAGATGTCTACCAATTGGATGAAGATTTTAAAACTACTTTTCACAATCCAATTCAAGAAATCAGAAATTACAGTATGAACTAGAAAAGCGACACACAGTAGATCATTAAAATCCCTGTGTAATTATGTTCCCCAAACGAAGTTTGGGAACATATTGTTTTTACTTTTTCTGAATTTTTTCTTTGTTCTCCGGTACTTTTTTGTCCGCGAGTGTTCTCGTAAACTACTCATCCGATCTAGGTGAAACCTTTTTAGGGTCACTAGGTATGTTATGTAGATGTGCGGAACGAAGGTCATTTTGCGCGCAAGTGCGTGCAGGTGCGAGCACGTGTAACACGTGAAATGATCAATATAATTGATTTAGCCGTAACTTTTTAAATATTGGATGAAATGCTTTGAAACTCATAATATAAGGATATAATAGTAGTATAGACATGATGACATGGTCAAAATAGCAAGATCTCACGCGCATGCAGGTGCCCTTCGCTGCGATTGGCTGAAACTTAAAGTCTAAATATCTATTTTGTTTTCTGACAAAATCCTTTGAAATTTTGAACATAGTCTTACATAGTCTACAGCATAAGAATAATCATGAACGCACGCACATGCACGTGTGCTGCAATCTGATTGGCTAAAACTTTAAATGCCTACAACTTTCTCGGTTCTCCATAATACAGGGTGAAATTTCAAATATGAATAGATATAATGATTGCCTACATTATACTACTATCAAAAGTAAATACATGGACGTACATGCACATGCGACCGCACATAATGTATTAAAAGACAGTATACTTGAGTGTTTGATGTTCATGCAGAATTAAGAACTTCTAAATGTCAAGACATGTAACATGCTGAAGCATGCAAATCTTTTTACCCTTGACCTTGAAACTTAGGTCAAGGTCACTGGTAACCTGAATAAAATGTTGATATTAACTATTTACCAAAATCACCTTGACCTATGAACTTGAAATCGACCTTAACCTTTGTCCTTGACCCAAGGGTAAAAAGAAACATGAAGTACATGTACATGTATCTAGAAACACCTTTCAGAGTTTATTTCGGTTGACAGGTTAGAAGTTAAAGAGGTGGTGGTTTTTAATGACCTTGACCTTTCATCCAAATGTCACAATCAATCTTAAGTTCTTGGAATAAGATACAAGATTCAACTCCAACGTTAAATAGGTTAAGAATAAAAATTCCCCCCCCACCCACCCACACACACACACACAAACAAATCAAATTAATGGCAACATAGAGAATCACTGTTAAACTCAAATAACACCTCGGACCCACATAAAATTTCAGGAAAACTGCAGAAAAGAGCTCGAGGAAAGTGTATTAAAATATTTCATTTGAGTTTCCAAAGTATATAGAAATTATTAATTTATACAGAAAAAATTACAAATCCTGTCGTGTTTAAAATTAAAGTGCAGATGACCAAAGTTGGCATATAAGCCTTTTATAGCCTATTTATTCAGATGTCGTTAATAGCATTCGATTCTACTGATTTGAAATAATATTTTAATACCAAGCATCCTTTGTTTAATTTACCTTTGAAATTTATTTGAATTTTTTTTAGAATTACGCAATCCCCAGAAATAGCGATTTTAGGTATTATATTAAAAAATCAATTTACATGTACGCTCCTTCATAAAATAATCAGATATTTGCATTCATGAAAAAAATATTAATAAGAAGGTGTTAAACAATATAGGTCACATTAGCTGACACGAATGTCTTTTTAAACATCTCTTGTAAAACCCAGAGAGTAGCCCCCTATGCATTGGAAAAAATGAATAGTTCCGGTCAAAAAACCTTTATATATTTATTTACAAAGTATATAAAATTTACCAGGCACAGGTATCAGAGTTGTCAAAATGGCCTGAGAGGAAATATTAAAAAAATTCTGAACAGAAAGGAAAATCCCTTTTCCATGTATGGAACTACTATTGAATAAGTTCATTTTGATTGGTTAGGTATTGGTGTGATACCCTTAGTCGACTTTAACCCTGCCTTGTCGTCGGAATAAAACCAACTTTGAGCCCGAGGTTTAAATAAGTAGAGAAATAAAATGTGAATCGATATATTAAAAATATGACATATGCTTGAGAAATGGTAAATTTATGTATGTATTTTTTTCTTTGATTCGCAGGATAGAAAGATATGTTAATCGCTTAATCAACATGCCATCTTGCATATGCATGTACATGTACGTGTGCGCGCATGCAAAACGTTAAACAATATATCGTTGATAGTTGATATCATTGTAACTTTTATATTCTTAAATGAAATCTTGGGATACTTAGCATATTTATAAAAGGTCTTAGAGGAATAAGGCACGATAAGGGACATGGGGAGCGTTTGGGGAACATCTGTAACGGTCCCTGTTACAATTAGCACTAGTTTTTAATTAAGATGAAATGTTGAGCAATGTCTTATCTACATCTCATCAATTAAACAAATACAGTATTGATACAGTAACAAAACCAGATTATTATCTGGAAATGTTTTCCAGGTTTCCTCGTTTTGTATAGAAGCACAAAGAGTTTGTGAGATTCTGATTCATCCTCAGGCTCCTTGTTTGACTGCCACACGATTTGTGACTCAGGAGAAGATAACTCCTCCAGTGTCTGACAGCATACTGACACCAAGTGGCAGTGACAGTCAACAGCCAGGCAGTGACTCACAGCACTCAACCAATCAAAGAGTGTCTAACATCGTACTGACAACAGGCAATGATAGATCTCCTAGTCAACAGACAAACAGCGACACAGCTCACTCAACCAATCACCACACACAAGGTAAACATGCTGCCTTTATTGGGACCTATTCTGATTCCTTTATAGACAAACTTGATGAGACAGAGAAAAAAAATTTAAAAATACATGTATCTGAGAATTTGAGATGACAAAGTGGCTTTGAAATACTATGGAATCATTCTAATTGAGGGGGGGTGGGGCAGTATTTATGGGAAACTTGTTCATTGAGGGGTTTTGTAGGTTACTTGTTAATATGGTAGATTCAAGGAATTCAATGTGTTTACAAAATAAATATTTACTGGGATGACCATGTAAATTTGTGGGTAAGAATGACCCATGGAATTGATGAGCATTGGTCCCCAACAACCAATAACAAGTCCACAGTATCAATAGTATTTGAGATATTCATGTTTTAGATAATGAAGTTCAATTGTATTTGATATTTTAAAGCTTTAGCAAATTAAGCTGAAGAAAAAAAGTGGAGAGATCTGCTAAGTAGAATTCTATCATGTTTTGTTTCAGATTCAAGTCACCTATCACCTGATGTAGAAGAAAACACAGATGGCATTGAGAGCATGGAAACTGGAAGGGAGGAAGAGAATCAGGGTATACTAAGTGAAATTGACAGCAACTCATCTTGTGTGGAGGTCATAGATACTCCCAAAAATCAGGAGGGAGAAATGAGGTCATAGAGACACCTCAACCATCCCAGGGTCAACAGGTGGAGGCATCCATCAGAATGGTGGGGACTGAAGAGGACTCCACAAATCCTACACAGGACTTACAGGCACCTGTAGGTGTTTGTGTGGAACTGATTGAAAACAAGGTGCAGAGTTCAGAGTCAGTTACAGAACGCAAAGAAATACATTCATCCAATGACAGCACAGGTGATCTGGTGGAGAAATCTGATTTACCTGTTAGTGACAGTGATAACTCAAGCAAAGCTCATATCCAGGACGATTCAGACAAAATTAAGGTAGAGTTTTACAGATATTACAGAAATATTTAAAAAATTCAATATAATGAACAGAAATATTTTAAAATGTTGAACAACATTAGGGTCACTGCAGCCCAAGAATCTCTGGATTTGATATTTAAGGAAATTTCAGTTATTCTTGTGGGTCCAACATGCTGAATAATCTACATGTATATGATCCCTTATGACCAATCATAATTGCTTGCAAAAAAGTTAAAAAGTTAAAGCCCCTCATAGAGTTTCTTGAAGTTCTGTTTGAGAGAAATTAATTTTGTTATTCATTTTTTTACAGAGTGATGAACTGGAGGACATGTTAATGACGTTTGCAGACGTGGACCCAGAATAAACCAGCTGTGGTATCCCAGCATATTAATGTTTGTTAAATGTTCAATAAAGAGATACTATGTTGCTTGAAAATCTTTGTGTTAGTTTGTTATGATTTATCTTTTCATCGTCAACTTCCCATACCTATGCAACAGTATAATGGGTAAAAATCTTAGGTCAAGGTCAAGAGACAAAGAGGTCAAGATTTGTGGTACTTAAATAAAAGGTCTAGTTACAAGGAACATATGCAATGTGTATAGCCCATCCCACTTTAAAATTTAATTTATAGGCAAGGTTAAAGTTTCTGCAGACAAACAGACAGACATAATATAAACACAAGATATGGAATCTGCATATAGTCAAATGGAGAAAAATCTACTATTTTGGAGTCACAAGATATATTGTAATTTCAGAGACGGGAGTGGCTAGGAAGATGACGCCCCTCCCCTCTTTGGAATTTATTGTAAAGAAATTTGTATACTTAAGCAATTTAATTAAAAATGACTTTGGACATTTTCCCCCCTAAGAAAAAAAATGACCCCACGACCCTACTATCATTGTTTTTATTTTGTTAATTTGTTTTCAGTTTTTTTTCTCTTTGCTTGTCTGGAAATTCTGAGCTAGAGAATTTTTTTTGACTTGGTACGTGTCGTTCCCCAGAAAAAAATTTGGATCTACTCCAGTAGCTATTAAAATGTCACATAAACAACGGGAGATAACTTCACAATGTGAGCTGTGGCATGCGATGATCTTTGACCCTTTTTGAACTTTAACGTAATCATTTGGGGTTTATTTTACTCCAATGTATACTTTAAGTTGTACTTACCGATTGTCATAGGTCCTGTGAACTTCTAACTAACACAAAATGAATTATTTCAATTCACACCAAACTGCGCAATCTGCTTATCAACCCCATTCGGCAAACCTTCAATCGCCTTATCAGATGAAGTTGTCTAAAATGGATGACCTGTTAAGAGTGATGCTAAATCTAAAAATATGATAATGGGTGATGCAACCCAATAAGGTGTGGAAATTTTCCAAAATGTGTTTAGATGTAAACATGTATAATGGTAAAAGAACATCTACTATTAGTAAATTAAAAAGCTTCTATTATGAGCAAAACATTTATCAAAGAATGATCATCATTAATTAATTTCTGGGGTTTTTTTTCAGACTGGTAATGACTTTAGCATTTAAAATACATATAAGATGTTCTGAGTCATAGGTCACATCGGTCACAGGCTCTGCGAATTTGATACTCAATATTGACGAATACATTTCCATGTAACTTATAGAATTATTTTGATGTTTTCCTTGAAAAGCCCAATATGTAGGAGTGTGTGTTTAGAGGCAAGCACCTTAGTGCGGGTATAACTGTCTCATGACAGCATCTAGTTTTACATTATAAAAGATACAGCAGGTGTGCAGAATTTACGCAGAAAAAGCGGGTCATTAAACCGCATCCGATCACCGAGCAACCAGAAAATTCCGAAATAATGAAAGCCAATTGTTTCTATAGTCAGATGTAAGTTATCACTTTTTCGACATGACCCAGCTCTAACCACATGGAGGTCCTTCTTAATTTAATAATCATCAATTTGAAATTGGGTTTTGGAACTGTTCAGATTAAATGTTAATATTCAGCAAAATAAAGTAACCTTTACAATTATTCATGAATTTTCTGGTTTGCCCTGGATGATCGGATCCGGTTTTAATGACCAGGTTTTTTTTCTCAAAAATATGTAATTTTACGTATTGCTATAACCAATTAAGAAATATTAAACTTTAATTAATATATATTCTTTAAAACCAGTTTTATTCATAACTTTACGGTATTTTTGTAACAATTATGTCAGAAAAAGTATTTTTAAAAAATTGGAAATCCTACCCATTTTACCAACCTGAAAATCAATAATCGCCAAAAAAAATCTACAATATTTAGTATTTGAAGTTAAATTTATCAGCGAATATAAATATTCGTATATAGAATAGAATCTGAAAATTTCAGTTGGTCGAAAAAGTATTAAGACAAGTGTGACTAAAGGGGGTGGGAAACCCGGGCCGGGAATTTCGAAATTGAAAACCGGGTTTTTGACAATTACGGAATAAACCTGTTCTTTTTTCATAAAATTTTACGGACATAGTTTATGATCATACTATTTGATGATTATCGCCGATTGTCCTTTTCCAGGTGACAAAATGGGGGGGCCCAGTTTACTCATTTTGGCGTTTTAAAGCTAAATGCATTGAAAACGTATGGGATATTTGCATTTATTGGCTGTTTTAACTTCAAATAGTTATCAAATAACATTCTTATAGACCCGGGACAGGTAAAAACCGGGATGAAGGAACAAACTCAATAAATCCGAATTATTCCCAGAAAAAGAATGTAGATTTCTTCATAGTCAATGAGTTACCGATAAAAAAAAAAAATAAATTGGAAAAAATTTATAAGCTATGCAATTCAAACCACAGTCAAATCAAATTTTAATTACTATATCGTTGACAAGTGTTTTTTTTCTGCACAATTTATTTAGCTTGGTGTTGAAGTTAATAAACGGGGTAATGTCTGCACATCTGCTTGGAAGATTCATTAAAAGACTAATTAATATTCCTGATGACTGAAGTTATTATCAGTAAATATGATAATTTCAAGATAAAAACCCTGAAAAAACCCCCCTACATTTAACACCTATTTCTAAATGCTTATTTACCTTTCAATGGCTCAAGAAGGGCTGTTTGTGGACATGGCGTTTAAAATCTTTTTTAAGAGAAAAGTGACCACGTAGAATATTGGCCAGGGGGTCATTTTTTCTAAGAAGCAAAAGGACCCAGGTAAATATTCAACGACAAGTAGGGTCATTTTTCGACCATAAAAAAAAAGCCAACCAGTAATTTACGCCCCCACACACGTTGAAAAATGGAGTGTTGGTAAAATGGGTAGGCAAACCCGGGGGGGGCAAAATTTAAAAACCCGGGGCAGATGAGATTTTTCAATTTTTTGTCTTAATGAGTGTGACAAAATGGGTAGCGAAACCCGGCCGGGCTGTTATAGTGTCTCTGCTCCGCCGCAAATTTGGAATAGTTTTGGAAGTAAAATTTAAGCATCTTTATTGTAGGAATGGCAAAAATTTAAATCCCAAAAAAATATTTAAATTAAGAAATTAATTCTTACCACCCGTATTGAATCTATTTTGCAATTTCCCCAAATTTACTATAATGCAAGAATACGAAGCGATAAATAAGTCAATGAACACTGAATGATTTAATAAATGCAATTATTTATTCATTACAAATTAAAATCCAGTCACGTTTTCTAAATACAGCCATTATTCGGTCGTATATGTGGAGAAAACGAACGACAATTGTAATGTTTATCAACATTTAATTTGTATGTTTATATTTTTCCTAAAAATTTTTACCTATTTCAGAGCTAGAGTTATCTCTCTTAATCAAACAGTTATCTGTCATAATTTCGAGACTTTTTATGTGTTTATTTTGGGGTTACTTTTTCCCAAAATCCTCACTTCCTGTTATTATTTCCTGTGTGACCCACACATGGAAAATGTTATTTTTCCTTCATTTTTGACTTGAGCTGCCACACACTGTAAGTAAACCGTGCTATTTTTGTTTATTACGCGTATACTTATTATATCTACAGTGTTTTTGAATGAAATGTTTGTAATTTGTTTATTATAATACTATTGTTAACTCTAGAAAGTATGGAACACTGTTGTTGTCATAATCTTAAACATAAAGCTGGGATTCGTTCTAACATTTTTCTATGGAAACCCATTTGTGTCAAAACTTTATATTTTGGAATTATATTAATCTTATGTCTATTTATTTTTTGAATATTTTTTATTTACAACTTATTACACAGTTCATGCTATATCTATCGTTATATACTGATATCATTCATCATGTAACTGATAGTAATTTTTTTTTTTGTTTTGTTTCAGTTCTTTACCGTTATCACAATAAATCGATGCACTGATTGTTGTTGTGGTTAACTATTGAATATACAGGCAGAATAGTAAAGAAAGTGTACAGCGATGTCAGAGATGGAAAGAGTACACACGTTAACTCCAGGAGGCTACGAGTTGTCCCAGACCAACTTCAGTCCTACTTGAGCGCCCTCAAGAAAGCCAGGAGAGTTTTTGAAACAATCTTGACAGAATTTAATGACTCCAGCTCAGATATAAAGTATCTAAGGGAAATTGAAGAGAAATTCAGGAGGCCAAATCTAAATACATGGAAAGTTATGAGACCCTCATTTCTTTTCTCAGACGCTTCTACAGATGAAGCTGATTCAGAAATGGAAAACCAATATTCGACACCGGAAATGTATGAGTCTTATGAACAATTTTGATCATCAGATTCAAGACTTGC